TTAGCTAACACCAAAAGGAAAACAGTAGAACGAGAGGTACCAATTCCCGAGAACCAAACCTGTGTTGATTTGCAGCCCTCGATGTACTTGCAAGCTCACGCACCGCTTCCCACCGCCCTTTGCTCGCGCTCGTCCAGGTTGCTTTCCTTTGCTGGTGCTCGTGCGCCCAACTTGTCTCCAACAACTTTGAAAATTTAAATAAATTTCTTAAAATCTTTCATAAGCCACACAGCTAAAATTTGTTAAGAGAAGTGACTCCATTCTACTAAGCGCATCTTCCCAAATTAACTATGATTTAATTTCATCTACCGATAGTTCATATGTATAGTACGGTAACTTATTATTTGCGACAAGCTAGTTATCCATTTTCCATTTATTTCATCTATTGCTAGTTTATATTGAGAATTTTTCATAAATCACTATAATTTAGAGCCTAATAACTATAGTTTGTCTAATTATCCTTTGTAGCTACTGTTCAATTGTTACTATGTTGTATCACTTGTAGTCAAACGCGCAATGAATACAACATGTGTCAACTGTATTCGTTTGCGCAACGAATACATGTATCAACTGTATTCGTTCACGCAATTATATTCATTCGTGCAATGAATACGATATATATCAACTGTAACCAAGTTGAAATACAAGGGTGTATACAAAGGATGATAAGTACAATGTAAATATTTAATGTGTCACGTAATTTTCCCGTTTATATATTCAGTACAGTAACTTATTATTGCAACAAGTTAGTTATCTATTTTTTTTATTTAATTTCATCTACCGGTAGTTTATATGTTCAAAAATACGGTAACTTATTATTGCAACAAGCTAGTTATTCACTTTTTAATTTTGATATCTCAAGCTTGGGGTGCGGTCTTTCTTCGTGTATCTTACGTAAATGCGGGATATTTTATGTAGCGAGCTATCCTTTAAACTTGGTCGCAACTCGCAATTAATGTTTAATCGACCTTATTTGTATAAATGTGGGGTACACGGTTCGTTGGTAGTAGATTTTATGACTATCCGTTGTTTTCTTTCATTGTTGATCTTCTTACTATCTTGTTGTTTTTATTCTGCTTTATATGACTTTTTGGTACTGTCATTTCTTGTCTATATTTTTATTAATGTGGTGCTTATACTTTCCTGAGGGTCTATTAGAAACAACCTCTCTATCCTTACAAGACAAGGGTAAAATTTGCGTACATACTAGCCTCTCCAGACCTGAGAATACGAATAATACTAGATATATTGTTGTGGCTGGGATAAACGGTTCAAATTTTTATTTAAAGGGTTTAGTAATAATGGATAACATGCAGTTGGAAGGTAGAAAGTAAGGCGTATCCTACGGATTCCACTAACAAATGAGCTGTAAGTTTGAACATTGCCTTGGACTTTGTATATTGTTACTCCACTTCATTAATTAATCCCATGTTCTCTTATAGTATTATTTTATTACTAAAAGATAAATAAGATAAACCTATACGACAGTTAAATAGAGATTTACATTTTACAGTTACAGTGAATTTCTACTTTCCACTATAAATAAAGTCTTCAATATTTCCCAAAAAGACACTTAAAAATACAGCTTAGCTAATAAACTCTAGAGAGTGCGAATACTACTGTAGAAATGGAGGTGGTGGGAAGGAGGAGCTTCGGTTGGCCGACAATGGCGGTGCTGCTAACTTGCGCCTTGTTGGTGATGTTACCCGAAGTCTACTCGGTTCGTTACATTGTGGGATCGAGAATGGGTTGGACTAGCAATGTCAATTACACTAATTGGGCGAAGGACAAACATTTCTACAACGGCGACTGGCTTTGTATGCACTTTTTTCCCTTGGATCTACTCCTTTTTTAGCTCCTTTTTCTTATATCTTTGTTCTTAGCTCGCTTCTAATAATTTTTCCTTAATTAGCAATTAGTAGAGCTAGAGGTGGATCTTTTTAAATATAGGAAGTGCTTCTTTGGTTCGAATTTAGTATAAATTTCTGTTTTTAGTAATTTTATGATGAGAATTTTGTTTCTCCAATTGGAGCTTGGACCTTTACTTTTCTCTTGAAGCTCTTTAACTTTTACCCCTATTACGCTTATTTTCTCGGTGTATTATTTGTTAGTTGTTACCCTAAGAAGAATTAGCAACCTCTTTTGTCGTTCAGATCTACGGTTTTAGCTCGCATTTTGAATGCCTTTTACTCTCTTTTTTAAACCTAATTTGAATGATAAGAGTTTCCAGCTGGGCATTCTCTGAGAAATTTTGAAGCTTTCCTTTTTTGTAACTGTTATTGGCACTGGATAACGCAGCTTCTTCCGCTATAAGCACTGTATTTATCATAGAGACAATGGTGTTTTAATTGTATTGCTGTTGCCCTTTCTTTAGTGGGGTTAGTTTAGAATCTAAATTGCACGATATCCCTACAGTTTTGCAATTAAAGAAAGCATCCAGCTCAAGTTACTTGGTATTCTTTGATATAGTTGCAATATCATTAGAATTCCCATTCGACTCGTGGTTTTTGATATCCTTGGTTTTGTGTAACTGTTGAGATAGCTTAGCAACTTCACCTCTGATCTCAAACTTTTTCTCTTTTCTAAATTGCATTAGCACATACAGATAGGTTGTTGTGCAAGCCATAGCGTTGAAAACTTGTTTTGAGCATTAGATGTCTGTAAAATTCAATCTTTATACTCAAGCTTCAGTCTAACTGTCTTGGTTGGTTGTGAGGTTCAAGTAACTACTGATGCTCACATTTTAATTTTTTAAGCCAATTTACAACAATTAAGTGCTTGAGATAATGAGTTTTGGTAGGACAACAACAACGACCCCAGTAAAATCCCACTAGTGGGGTATGAGGAGGGTGGTAGGACATTACCTCTAAATCTAGAGAGGAATATGTCAGTGGACAAGACAATAATTCCAGCCACATGCTTAGATGTCACCCTCATGCCTGATCCTGTCCAGAATCATCCAGTTGTTTGTAGGGACAAAGTTGTTTGTGACATTGTTGGTTACCAGCTAATTCTGGACAAGCACACGAAGTTTCCTAATCTAATTTGGCAAGTAACGTGTAATTTGGCAAGTCACAATACTTCTCGTGTCGCTTTGAAACAGCTTCAACTATATACATATATGTATTTATGCATATACATGTATGTATTTATGCATATACATGTATGGTGTTTGCTGAGTTCTATGTTTATCTCGTTGCATAATTAACTGCAAGACACATTACAAGTTAGCACCAATGACTATCTACATAGTCATGCCATATGCATATGAAACTTTGTTTTCTCGAATACAGAGATATCTGCAGCTACTCATTGCTGTTCATTAACTCTTTCTCTGCTATCCCAGATTTTGTGTATGACAGGAACCAGGCGAGTGTGCTTGAGCTAAACAAGACCAACTACGAGAACTGCATTACAGATCACCCTCTCCACAATTACACCACTGGAGCAGGAAGGGACGTGGTTCCACTTAATGTGACGAAGACCTACTATTTCGCTAGTAGTGGAGGATTATGCTACGGAGGCATGAAAGTGGCTATTCATGTGGAAAAAGCACCTCCACCACCAAAAGCTGCTCCAGTACGTAGCGGTTCGACAAATGTGCTCACCTCTTTTACAGGGCAAATACTGATACCAGCTCTTTTTGCAACTTCTGCTGTGTGGAATGCATTTCTTCTACTCTGGTAGGATGGTCAATTGTCCAAAAACGTTGGATGGTTAAGACAATTAGTTAAACCAAAATGTCAAGAAAGTGTTTTAGCTTTGTCTTGCGTGTGTTTGTATTTTCTTTTTTCTTGAAAGTTACCATTTTTCTTTTCGCTACTGCCATCATCATTTGACCTGAAAATCAATTTTTTATTTCAGATCAAATTGGTGGGGTTCATTTGAAAATTTGTTTATTTATGTTTTACATAAACAACTGTACCAAATATTTCATCGGAGAAATTGATTGCGTGGATCACGGAGGTCTTTCATGTTACTGTTCTTGAGTGAAATGCATTGGTCTCTTAATCCGTGTTAATTGTAGTACCTCTCTTAATCAATTTATCCATCATTAATTTGTTGTAAGTTGCTGTCTCGATTGTTTGAGGCTCGAATTCCGATAGCCAGCTCCCCCCCCCCCCCCCCTCCTCCCTCTCTCTACAAAGAGATACAGTATTTCCCAAGTCATCCAAATTTCAAATTTATTTAAAAGGTCTCATTTTCAAATGTAGTGAATCTTTACATGGTGGTCCTCAGCAATGTTGTAAAAAGTTTGTTTTTTTATAAGAGTTCACATGATAGATTCTGGTCATTTTGCTGTCTATCTATAAGAGGGAAATAAGGAGCGTGGGTTGGGTTAATGGATTCATTATCAAATCCTCTCTGGCGAGGCCAATGGTGGACCCCAAGGCATGTGACTTGATGATTTTGTACAAGTAAAATTACCTTGTCTTAACAGCTGGTTTCGAATATACTACGTATGGTTGTGTGTGAGCCCACCGGCCCTCCCCCGCCCCCGGGGGGGTGGCGTGCAATTGAAGAGGCGCTAGAAAATGTTTGAATTATTTGTAATGTCTTAATAAAATGTTAGTAATATGATCAAAACCAATTACTGTAGTTTAGGTTCTCCATTACAATTTCGATTGAAATTATTCATGAGATCTTGAGCGCACATACGTCGTTGCTATTAACCAAGGCAATTAAGCTGTCACAGAACCTTATTGTGTTAGGACTTGGGAGTAAAGACCCGAATTTTGATGCTCGTCAAGCTTGTAAGTCTTTTATGAATATTGTAGAAAACCTAGATGTTAGAACTCTTCGCATATTGAATAAGAGGATCCCAATACGAACCTTAATATTACGAGTTCAAACTTCAAAGTTTCGGTGATCCCAAAGTTTATCCATTGCGTGTCGTTCCACCACTAGCTCAGAAAGTCATTAGGTACAAATTTATTCATAGCGTTTGTTAATATCAAATCAATAAATACATGACACATATCTTCACAATCATGGTTATCACTAAATCGTAGCTAAATAATATACATTATCCCCTTAACTTATTGCTTAATCGTGGTAAAGTTTTACACAATCTGATGTAAATATGCAAAAACATGAACAAATGACCAGGGTGAGGCACATGCCACAAGAGAGAAATGCTTCAAAAAGTCCCAAATGGACGAACAGATCAAAAAGGAGACAACTAGGAACTTTTTTACCCATTTATTTCTTGTGCATATACCCTAATCAGTCCGGAAAATGATCAAACTGCTCATTTGGTTTGCATGTAGACTCACGCAGTCCTGTATGTCTGTATCCCCACTTTCAACATGCAGTAGTGCAGGTTCCTAACACAAATCTCCTGCTATACATGAGAAATATATATATTGGTTTATAGCAATATATTGTTGCTACATTCTCTTGCCAAGATATTGGTCATTTTCTTTTCTATTTGCCCCTTAATCAAATTCCGGCTTCACAATCCACCAAAGAAGAGAGAAAACTAGTCCTAACATTTGAGACAATGATAACAGAGGGCGTGATACTGCTGGTAAGGGTGACGATGTTATTGGGGATGATAAAGTCAGTGGCCAGTGGACTCGATAAGGTGGGCGGCAAGTATGGCTGGACTCAGAACGTTAACTACACTGATTGGGCTGTTCATCGCCATTTTTACGTGGGCGATTGGCTTTGTGAGTGACCTTTAACCTTAGCTTCCTCGTCACACACTCAACTCAATTATATTTTATTTGGATGTAACTTATACTCCCTTCGGTCCGAAATAAGTGATTTTTTTGGCTTTTTTCTTATGATCCAAAATAAGTGATTTTTTCAGATTTAAAGAATTAATTAATTTTTTTTCTATATTGCCCTTGGAGTAATTAATGTTGGCGTATGTGTTAGGAGTGTTTATTAAAGAGATAGTAAATATTAATATGGTCAATTTCATTACTAATTAATGTTAAAAGATGAATTTCTTAATATGTGTGAAATTAACCAAAAAATCACTTATTTTGGACCGGAGGGAGTATATCATAATAGTGTACTGAATTTTTTCACTATGTTATATTAGCATGTTTTGACAAATAACTTGTCTTATTTTTCAGATTATTAATATTATTTTTAATGAAAAGTTATTATTCGTTATCTTTTAGGTTATAAGTTGATAGTAGAAAGAAAAAAAAATTATATTGTGAAGCTAAACTCCTTCGTTATAATTTTGTTTGATATCTTTCACTGGTCTCAAAAGAAAAAAAAATCTAGTTTGACAATGTTGGCACAAAATCTAATATAGGTGAAATTTATTTTGCAAATTACAATTTGGAGATTCAAAAACTAAAAGGGTATTATTAGAACATAAGTTAAGATTTTCCTTGTGTTAGGAAGGCGAAATAATTACATCTTGAATTGCATTTAAATATTGAGAGGAAGAATTTAATGTAAACTAATGGCGGATTCAAAATTAAAATTTATGGGTTAAGGTTTTGAGTTTTATGGGTTCAAAAAACATAATTTTATATTATACTAGTACCACTTTTCAGGATTTTTCACAGACTATAATATCAATGATATAGGTAGAAAATGGTCGATTGAATTGAATCACTTCTATTACTATAGGTCCACCTATAACGTTACTCCCCCAGTCCAAAATAAGTGATTTTTTGGTTGTTTTAACACATATTAAGAAATTCACTTTTTAACATTAATTAGTAATGAAATTGACCATATTAACCTTTATTATCTCTTCACATTAACACTCCTAACACATACTCCAACATTAATTACTTCAAGGGCAATGTAGGCAAAAATAATTAATTAATTCTTGAAATCTGGAAAAATCACTTATTTTGGACCACAAGAAAAAAGCCAAAAAATCACTTATTTTGGACCGGAGAGAGTAACATTTAAAAGTTTCTTCTGTTTTTTTATTTTCCTCATTAACACAGGGTTGGATCCGGCCCTCTAGCATCGGGTTCAACTGAACCCAGTATTTTCATTGCGGAATATAAATTTATGTGTAAAAAATTATTAAAATTACAATAAATAGTAAATATGAACCTATAACTTTAAAAATATAATGGTGTAATGCTAAAAACCTTAATGGTTGAACCGATAGAATTTAAATCATGGATCTGCCTCTGCATTAAAAGATATAAGCTTGATTAATAACTCCCAAATGTTTGAAGAACAGACGTAAAATTAGACAATTTCTGAGAATTAAAATGTTTTTTGAAGCTAATTGTGGGTTTCATTTCAGATTTTGTATTTGACAAGCATCTTTACAGCGTGCTGGAGGTGAACCAAACCAACTACGAGCAGTGCATTGATCATGACTTTATAACAAACATTACAAGGGGTGGGCGAGATGTTTATCAGCTAACTCAGGCAAGACCTTATTACTTTATCAGCAGTGGAGGTTACTGTTTCCATGGAATGAAATTACCTATAAATGTTGAACAACAACCTTCGCCAGCTTCTCCTGCACCTTCTTCAGCCAAAATTAATGCTTCTCCACCACAGATTGGCAAACATTTTATTACACCAGCTGTTGCCTTTGTGGTTACTCTTGTTTGGGTACTCTTGTTTGCTCGTGCTAGATCGTCATGACTTTGTTGAACCAGTGATGTATGCAAGATTTTATCCAAACACAGTCAGTCTATTGCCACAATTCGACTTGTAAGTGTCTAGGACTATGTATGATATATGGTTTAGGACTTTACTTCATGTCTCAAATTAATAGTTATAATGTATTATTTTCAAGCAATGTATTTTAGGAAATTATACAAATTGTCTTTTAGGAAACATATATCCGCACATATATAAGAAAAAAGCATATTATAAAGTGGTGTTGAGCGACACCCCGTTCAAATGGTATGTACCACAATAGTTATTTACAGAGTGTCCTAGATTTTGTGTTCAATTTAGAGTTCATAAAATTGTTATTTATAAGTTTATTGATGCAAGCATTTTGGTCATGTTGTTGAATATGGCAAACTATCCCACATCGGTTGGGACTTAATTTGGGGGAGAATTTCACCCTATAAAAAAGGCCTAATGTTTAGGATTTAAACACACCTCTCATTTGCCTTCTTATCTTCTTAAGGTATTTGTATCTTCTCTCTTTAGTATTATTTCACTTGTAATTTTGGAGTAGAATAAAATATTGGTTGTGTCCGAGGAAGTAGGCAAAATTGGCCGAACCTCGAAAATTCTGGTGTTCCTTTTATTGTTGCTTTATTGTCTTATTTATTATTTGGTGGCTGTCATATTTTTTGGTATAGTAGCTGTGACTCATTCACACTATATACATTTGTCTTCCGCAACAATTGGTATCAGAGCCAAAGTACTGTCTAAGTATGCTCTGTGGTTGCAGCATAGTCTGATCTTCCACATCAGAAAAGATTTATCTTGGTAACTGAGTCAAGGTTCTGTCTAAGTATGCTTTGTGGTTGCAGCTTAGTCTGATCTTCCACACCAGAAAGGACATAATCTTGATTTGTGTCGTCAACTATTAAATAATATTTGTGTCAAAGATGAGAGACAATAAACNTACTGGAGGATAAATTTTTGAAGAAATACAGTCAAAATAAATTGTACATGAAGAAGAAACTGTTTCGCTTCACCTATGTTCCTGGTACCACGATGAATGAACATATCACTAGTTTCAATAAGTTGGTCACAACTTTGCAAAATATGGATGCAACTTTTGATGATGGTAACTTGGCCTTGATGTTGTTGGGGTCACTTTTTGATGAGTACGAACACCTTGAAACTACTCATACTCCATGGAAATGACGAAATTTCTCTCAGAGAAGTTTGTTCGGCTTTGTACAGCTATGAACAAAGAAAGGGAGAAAAACAGAAGGGCGGAGAAGGAGAAACACTGGTTGTGAGGGGTCGTCCTCAAAATCAAAAGAGGACAAGGAATGGAAGATCCAAGTCAAGATCTAGACCTAGCAAAGATGAATGTGCCTTTTGTCGAAAAAAGGGGCACTGGAAGAAAGACTGTCCGAAGTTGGATAATAAGGCCAAACATAACAATGGAAAGGCTATTATGGATTCAAATATAGCTGATTGTGATGATTCAAACTTCTCATTAGTTACAACAGAGTCATCAACATCATCAGACATATGGTTGATGGACTCAGCTTGTAGCTATCATATGTGTCATAACAGGGAATGGTTCGTGGATTTTCAAGAAGGAGAATATGGAGTCATCCACACAGCGGACAACATCTCTCTTACCTCATATGGAATTAGTTCAATACGATTACAGAACCATGATGGAATGATCAGAACATTAACAGATGTTCGATATGTACCGGATTTGAAGAAGAATCTCATCTCTGTGGGAGCCCTAGAATCAAAAGGGTTCAAAATCACTGCAGAAAATGGAGTAATGAAAGTATGTTCCGGTGCACTAGTGGTAATGAAGGCCAATCGGAAAAACAATAACATGTACCGTTATCGCGGTAGTACAGTTATTGGGACAGCGGCAGTAACATCCAATGACGAAAAAGAGGCAGAAGCAACCAGGCTATGGCATATGCGCTTGGGACATGCTGGAGGAAATCCTTGAAAACTCTATCAGATCAAGGATTGTTAAAGGGAGTAAAGGTTTGCAACTTGGAGTTTTGCGAGCATTGTGTCAAAGGGAAACAGACAAGGGTTTAGTTTGGTACATCGATCCATAATACTAAAGACATTTTGGATTATGTACACTCTGATGTTTGGGGTCCTTCCAAAACACATTCATTGGGTGGAAAGCACTATTTTGTAACCTTTGTTGATGATTTTTTTCGAAGAGTGTGGGTGTATACAATGAAGAGCAAAGATGAAGTATTGGAAATTTTTCTCAAATGGAAGACGATGGTGGAGAATCAAACAGGCTGGAAGATCAAGTGTATTCGCACGGACAATGGAGGTGAATACAAAAATGATCATTTCAATAAGGTCTGTGAAAATGATGGCATCATCCGACACTTCACTGTCAGACATACACCATAACAGAATGGAATGGTAGAACGTATAAACCGGACCTTACTGGAGAAGGTACGGTGTATGTTGTTCAATGCTGGCTTGGACAAAGAATTTTGGGCTGAGGTAATTACATATGCATGCCACCTCATTAATCGTTTACTATCTGCTGCTATTGATGGCAAGACACCATTTGAAAAATGGTACGAAAAACCTGCTGTAGATTATGACTCTTTGCACGTGTTTGACTCAACTGCATATTATCATGTGACAACGTCAAAATTGGATCCAAGGGCAAAGAAGGCTATTTTTATGGGAATTACTTCTGGAGTCAAAGGATATCGCTTATGGTGTCCTATGACAAAGAAAGTAATATTCAGCAGGGATGTNTGAAACAAATGAAGATTATCCTCTGGAAGAAGAGCCAGAAGAGAGGGAGATTCCAACTCAGGAACCTCAACAACAACTTGAATCAATTGCAACTAACAGGCCAAAAAGGACAATAACAAAACCTGTTCGTCTTATAGCGACGGTTGCTTGTGCCACCTCAATTGTAGCTGATGATGTTCCTACCACTTATAAAGACACTATCCAAAGTTCAGAAGAAGATAAGTGGAGGATTGCTATGAATGATGAAATACAGTTCCTTCATCAGAATCATACATGGAGACTGCCCAATCTCCCGAAGGGAAGAAAGCAATTGGGTGCAAATGGGTATTTGCAAAGAAAGGAGGATTTCCTAACCAAGAAAATGTTCGCTACAAAGCAAGATTGGTGGCCAAAAAATATGCTCAAAAGAAGGGAATTGATTACAATGAAATATTTTCTCCAGTTGTAAAACATTCCTCCATTAAAATTATGTTGGTTTTGGTAGCATAGTTGGATTTGGAACTAGTTCAGATGGATGTATAAACTGCATTTTTACATGGAAACTTGGAGGAGGAAATCTACATGACTCAGCCAGAAAGATTCAAAGTTGTTGGAAAAGGAAATATGGTATGCAAACTTGAAAAATTATTGTACGGATTGAAACAATCTTCTAGATAATGGTACAAGCGATTTGATAAGTTTATGTTGTAGCAAGGGTACAAGAGAAGCAAATACGATCATTTTGTGTATTTGCGCAAGCTTGAAGATGGTTCCTTTGTATATCTTCTCCTATATGTTGATGATATGTTGATAGCTTCCAAGAATTCGGAAGAAATTGATAAGTTGAAGATTCAACTGAAGAAGAAGTTCGAGATGAAGGATCTAGGTGAGTCAAAGAAAATTCTTGGCATGAAGATAATAAGAGATAGACGTTCATATCTCAAAAGGAATATTTGAAGAGAGTACTGGTTATGTGTTTACTTTTGCAAAGGCATCAGTTAGATGGAAGTCTACTTTGCAGTCAATAGTTGCTTTGTCTACAACAGAGTCAGAGTACATGACTATTACAGAGGTTGTGAAGGAGGCAATTTGGCTTCAGGGGTTGCTAAAAGAGTTTGGCATTGGACAAAAAAGTATCACAATTTTTTGTGATAGTTAAAATGTTATTCAATTAGCGAAGAACCAAGTTTATCATACAAGGACGAAGCACATTGATGTTCGATATCATTTCGTACGAGAAACTATAGAAGAAGGTGGAGTCACGGTGAAGAAAATTCATACTACGGAGAATCCTGCTAATATTGAAGAAAGTGGATTTGATCACTGAATATCCTGAAAAAAGTGGTGACTGCGGTCAAGTTTCAACATTGTTTGGATTTGATCAACATTGTTGAACACTGAATATTGAAGATGAAGACACAACCAAAATTTGTTATCGAGAAAAAATTGAAGATGTGGAATTTTGCCAAGGTGGAGATTTGTTGAATATGGCAAACTATCCCACATCAGTGGAGGACTTAATTTGGGGGAGAATTTCACCCTATAAAAGAAGGCCTAATGTTTAGGATTTAAACACACCTCTCATTTGCCTTCTTATCTTCTTAAGGCATTTGTATCTTCTCTCTTTAGTATTATTTCACTCGTATTTTTGGATTGGAATAAAATATTGGTTGTGTTCGAGAAAGTAGGCAAAATTGGCCGAACCTCGTAAATTCTAGTGTTCCTTTTATTGTTGTTTTATTGTCTTATTTATTATTTGGTGGTTGTCATAATTTTTGGTATAGTAGTTGTGACTCATTCACACTATATACATTTGGCTTCCGCAACACATGTAACTCTGATTATGTGTTAACTGCGTTGGAGATTTTATCTTGATATATTAGCCTTATTCTTTTGCCAATTCTTCTAGCTAGTTTAGCCTAAGAACAACATAGCATCTTGAGACTAAGAGGAAAAAGCGAATGAGGCTCTGGTTTTCTCTCTATTCTTCCAAATCATGCAGAAGAATAAAGAGAAAATAGAAAACTACTCTGTTTCATTGGAAAGGCAAATATAGTAATTGGAATTATTTACCAAACATATTTGTTTAGAGGGGAGCATTGGTATAACTGGTAAAGTTTCTGCCATGTGACCAGGAGGTCATGAGATTCTAGCCGTGGAAAAGGCCTCTTGCATAAATGCAAGGTAAGACTGCATACAATAGACCTTTGTGATCTGGCCTTTCCCGGGTTCCGCGCATAACGAGAGCTTAGTGCATCAGGCTGCCCTTTTATTTGTTTAGAATCTTTATTGATACAACAATCACTAGCAGTAGTCTGAGATTCAAAACTAATCAGATCTTGTGAGATAAAAAAAATCCTATACTACTAAAATGCAGTGAAATACTTCTGACAATAATCAAAAAACGTTTGATAGTCCTACTACTGCTACTACTACTACTTCCTGGTAGAAAGTTTACTGTGTATAGTAACTGCTTGAGAAATTAAGCTAGCAGTATCACCAACATTTTCAGGAATCAACAATACAGTTCCCACCTTATTTATCTTCTCAAACACTTCAACATACTGCTCAGCAATCCTCAAACTAGTAGCATCAGCACCTCCATTTTCAAGAATTGCTCTTGACACCTCAGAAATTGCTCGTGCCGTTGCTTGAGCATTAGCGAAAATCGCATCAGCTTCACCTTTAGCCCTATTTACTTGATCTTTTTTAGCATCTTCAGATTCCAATATCACAACCATTTTCTTCCCATATGCAACATTAACATCCGCTTGTCGTTGCCCTTTAGAAACTAGTACTTGAGCCCTTTTCTTCCTCTCTACTTCAGCTTGCTTTTCCATAACAACTTTAACACCTTTTGGTGGTGTTATATCTTTGATCTCATACCTTAAACACTCAATTCCCCAATCAGTACGTAATGGCCGGTCATTAATAGCCTTAAGTATGTTTCTATTCAACTCAACGTGTTCTTCAAAAGTCTTATCAAGTGTAATTTTGATATCAGAATCGTCTGCTCCTTTAACGAGTGTACGTATTGGACCTTATCGACGAATGGGATCAAATAATTAAGTCCTAGATTCAGTGTTGTCGTATACTGACCTAAGCGTTCGATTACACAGGCTGTCTGTTGGGGAACAAAGTGGATGTCGAAGTTTATGGGTGTCCGGAGTTTGTAATTAATATCAGTGCTGAAGTTGTGGAAATTGGAGGACATAGTTAAAGGGATTATGGTATGAGAATTGTTGTGTAATTGTTGCATGGGTTTAAATAAAAAAGAAGAAGAAGAAGAAGAAGTTGAGAGGTTTCTGTTAAACTGCATGGATTTTCCAAAAGTTTTGAGTGTTTTCATGTTGTTGAGAAAACTTCCTTTGAAGAAAATCATCGTCACAATTGTCTCTTGAATTTTACCCCTTCATAGATTGTGTGTTATGACGAGGAAGAGACAAACCCGAAAATAAAGAAGATAAAGAATATCAAATTTTAACGAGGAAAACCCTTCAAATCGAAGGTAAAAACCACGGGATCCCAAAGATCCAAAAAGCTCCACTATAACAATAAGAGGGTTACAAAAGTTCTCCAAATTGGATACACAATAAGTGCCAAACACGGAGCAACAACTGTAACAAGAGCAACAACTAATCAATTGAAGATAAAGGAGAATCCACAAAAATGAATCTGCTGTTCGAGGCTCGAAATCAGATTCTACCAGCCTCCAAATCCGATCTCCACCATTAAAATCCAAGAACAAGATGTTACGAACACTCAGTAAAAATTTCAGCCCGATCCAACGGTTAACAAATCAAAAAAGTGATTTGAATGTTGGCTGTTCGGAATAAAAATCTGCAGCAAAACAAATATTTTTCTTCTCTCTTCTCTCTTGACGAAAGCTCTCTCAAAAACCACTCTTATGTGCTTAATTCTTTTAGAGACTTGTGTCAATGAGCATAGAATAATTCTCCAAGGTTGTCCTATTTATAGATCATGAGTGGTGCTTTCTCTTAAAGCCAAAACCCACTCAAAATAGGAATAAACCGTATCCAATTCCAAATAGGAATGAAAACCAAAAGAGAATAGGATTAGGTCATTGAGCCTTTGGCTGGACAACATGGGCATGAGCCCAAAAAACTCCCCCTCCAGCCAAGGGGCCAAATGTGTCTTTAAGTAGAGGAACTATTGACAGGCTTCATGCCTGCCAATTTTCTACAAAATTCATGTTTATCTGCAACCATCACCTTTGTCAGCATATCCGAAGGATTTTCAACAGTGTGTATCTTCTCAACCTCAAATAATTTCTCTTCAACAACTATTCTTATCCAATGATACTTTCTATTTATATGTTTAGTCTTAGAATTAAAAGTGGAGTGCTTGGTGAGATAGATAGCACTCTGATTATCACAAAATAAGATGTACCCTAGCTGTTCAAAGCCAAGATCATTAATTAACTCCTTCATCCATAATAGTTCTTTGGCACCTTCTGTGACAATAATATATTCGGCTTCTGTGGTGGATAAAGTTATGCACTTCTGTAATCTAGATTGCCAAGAAACAACCCCCTCTGCAAAAGCGATCAAATAAGAGGAAGTGGATCTTGAATTATCAAGATTGCCTCCTAAATCAGAGTCTGTGTAACAAACAAGTTCAAGCTTGCCATTGCCAAAGCACAACTTCAAATCTGCAGTACCTTTCAAATACCTTAATATCTATTTTACTNAGTTCTTCCATGTCAGTCAAAAGTACATACTCATCAGGAGGATAACACATGGATTTTTGCTTCTCCCTTGTAGATCTTCTAAGAGAGGTTTCAGGAGCATTCGAAGTAGTTCCCTGTGTAGGAATTGGTTGCTGATCAACCACAACTTCATCAACTGGAGCATCCATAACATCTACACCATGATAATCATTTTGATCTTAATCACTATCTCCATCATTGTTTTGGGTTCCTTCATGTGCAATAGGTGCTTTAGCAATTGAAACTGGATTAATATCAACTAAGCTCTCATTACTCTGAGAATCTATCTTCTCAGCTTTGTCAATATCTTCAATAGTTTGGTCTTCAAAGAATATTGTATCACGACTTCTACTAATTTTATTGTCAACTGGATCATAAAAACGATACCCAAACTCATCTTGACCATAACCGTTAAAGATGCACTGCTTAGTTTTGACATCCAGTTTCGATCTCTCATCTTTAGGAACATGCACACAAGCTTTACACCCAAAAACTCTCAGGTGATCATAAGAAACATCTTTGGCAAACCAAACTCTGCCTGGGACATCACCATCCAAAGCAACTGCAGGAGACAAATTGATAACATAGGCAATAGTGTTAAGTGCTTCCACGCAAAATGTATTTGGAAGTTTAGCCTCTGAAAGTAAGCATCTAACTCTCTCAACTAGAGTTCTATTCATCCTTTCTGCCAAACCAATCAATTGAGTATTAGTCAGAGTCCATCTATTGATGAAGAGAGAAAGGAGATGTCTCGTATTCCTTACTCTTCTACCGTTGGTAGCTTGATGTATGTTATGGTTTGCACTAGACCAGATATTGCACATGCCGTTGGTACTGTTAGTAGATTCCTTTCTAATCATGAAAAAGAACGTTGGTACTGTTATATAGTGGATTGCTCATCTCCGCGGTGGACGTAGGTTAGTTGATCAAACCACGTTAAATGTTTGTGTCTCTTTTGGTATATTTCTCATTTGTTTTATGATTTATCGTCGCTCAAGGTTTGCTTTGCTAGCTTCCGTATGACACCTGATTTTTACGGTCCTAACACTATGGTTATGTACTCTCTCTATTGACTGCGGTTTTGTGCAAGAAGTATAGTAGGTGTCTCTATTGTTTGAGGAACAAGTTATTCTGGTTTCTTGTAGGGAAAGTCAATTCTGTTTTTTTCTTTTTCTACAAGAAATATTGAAAAAAAATAAGGAAAAAGATTCACTGTGGATTAATTATCTAAAACATTAGTTTAGAGGAATGGAATCTCGAAATCATATAGTAACTATTTCCATATAAGTAAAAAATTATCCCGAAGTTTATCTTATTAATTTCGACAATCTCTGGCATAATAATTTCTCACATAAGAAGTTGATTAGTAGGTTAACAATTTTTTCTATGTTGTTTCAATCCAGCTAAACAATTAGTTAATAGTACACATAATTATCCTTGTTCGTTATTTTCCTCTAATAGCCATGGGTTCAGAGCCAGTGGGGAAACATGATTTTTGATGAAGAGTATAATGTTGAACCCTCTTCTGTCCACCTAATTCCGCCGTGTATTAGTTGAGTATTGGCAAATGAATCATTAAACATAAATTGATACAGAGAGAAACTATACGTTGCTATTAATTCAGAGTACATTTTTTCGGTGTGATAAAAGAAGGGAACTGCAATTTTAACACTAAAAAAAGAAAAAAAGGAAAAAGGAGTCAAACTTGGATAAAAAGAAAGGCGAAATGGCTTCCTAGCCACTTAAACTTATCGGGTTTTTTAAAGTCGATACATAAACTTATAACTTTCCCATTTGAACACTCGAACTCGTTTTTTCCATAACTAGTAAACACATCTGACCATTGACCATGTGCGCGTGTATTACACATACACATACGTGTCCATCCTGTCAGCAAATGACCAATGGATGTCTTACACGTAAGGGCGCGAAAAGTCAAGAAACAACTCATTCTCTTTGACTGCTTTAGCGTTCTGCTTCATCAACCATTTCAAGCTAATTCCAACACCCCTAGCAACAGAAGAACGCCTATCTCTGTTACGCCTATCTCTGCTCCTTTTTCTTCCCTACGACATAGTGATGAACGACAAAGAAGCAGATCAATTACAATGCAGTAGAAACATACCAAAATGAGTCAAACGGGAAAACAGTTTTAAAGATAAATTAATATCTTCTGACAATACCAACATACACCTAGATTTTGAATGCAATTCTTTTAGCAACATCTCTCTTGAAGATGAAAACACAAACCCGGAAAATCACCCAAACTTCATCCCCATCTCAGCACAAGACGAAGAAAGACTATACCAACCATGACAACAATCCATCATCATCAAGCTGCTTGGGAAGAAGTTAGGGTACATCCAACTAAGGGACAAGCTTCATCGATTATAGAGATCATCGGAAGCTCTAAATTTAATAGATCTAGGTAATGATTTCTATCTCATTTTCACCATTTTTACGGTCTGAAAAATAAAAAAATTTGAAAATGGAGCTTCAGATTTTTAAAAATGGAGGAAGGGGGTATTTTGTATTGTTGGGCATTGGGAAGGGGGTTTTTACGCTCCTGTGCATCGTGTTCCTCACGCGGGCTGCTGATTAGGACCAACTGACGCCACATGGGCATGATCATGGGCATGTGTTTATTTATCGGCTTTAAAAAACCCGACAAGTAGTATCTTTGTGCTGAAATCTCTAAACGGTTCTTAGGGTCGGGTCGGGTACTAAAAGAGGAGCTAGATAATGGGATAAGATAATTCACATATGGTGGCACTAACAGGAAGAACCGTCCCAATTCCCTCCATGGCAACGGCTATGTCCGCCATTTTTGTGCCTCCAGCTTCGCCCACTTCACTCGCTTCCTCCAATACGCCTAAAATATACCTAAGTACATGGAATGACAAATTTGTTATTCCGAAATTTTTTACATTCCGGTCTCCGAAGAACCAGTCGAGGAAACCGCCGTCATGCTCCAGTACCAATGGCGCGGCGGTCCAAAGTAATCGCAACACAACCGAACTACCAATAAGTGTCGACGCTCTTCAGCGTTTCATTCGCCTCAATTTGGGCAACTGGACCGGCTCTTTCCATGTCAGCATTAACTCTTTTCAGCTTACTCTCTTGAAGAAAATTGATAAATACTTTTTTTAACGGTCTTTATGCTCGATGCGCCCCTACTTGAAGTTACGTGCCCTTTCATTCCTTAATCTGCTTGATTTATTTTGCAGCAATTTGATGGTCACGGCAATTTGATGCATAAAATTACAACGAAGCTTGCGGTGGGCTCTTATGGTGAAGATGAACTGATGAGTTTACTACAAACGTGAGTTCCTATTTTTCAATCTTCACTTTTTTTATGGTAGATAACTGTTGTAGCGAGCTAATAGCAGTTCAATGTATCTCCACCTTGCTATGTTTCCAATGAAAAGTAGAACGTAATCAGAGGCAGATCCAGTGTTTGAACTTTATGAGTTTGGGATTCTTGGACACTGATCTGAAGTGCTAATAACTGGGTCCAAAATTTTATATTTGCACATATTTAGTTGATTTCTTAACACATATATAGGGTGTAGGCCAAAGCTACTAGCTTACACTGTGGATCCGCCCCTGAATGTAATTGCTAGAAAGAATTACATTGGAACTTAGATTAAGAGTCCTATGACTAATGTGCGTAAAGTATATATATTCTTTGAGAATAATCCAGTCTAGTTCCTTTTTAATTAGGGCATTGCTAGTAATTATGTAGTTAGCATTTGACCTAAAAATAAGGTTGTCTATTAGTCACCCAAATAAAACCTTTTCCTACTCTTTGAGATTAAGATATTAGTTGAACATTGCGATCGAGGAGAAATTTTTCTTTAGGAGTTTCTGTAAGCTAAACAAATTACGATATTTACACCTCATGTTACACACGATATAGTTAACCCTATGTAGGTGAACTTTAGCATATAGAAATCCATGTGCATTTCTCTTTTCTCTTGAATTTTGATAAAAAAATTTCATTCAGTGGTTTTCTCCCCGCACAAAATAAAAAATAAAAAATCATTCAGTGGTATTCTTATCTATAAGTGCAAGTAGCTTTTACGATCAAAAAGCTCAATCTTTAACTGGTTCAAATATAGTAAGGAAGCCAAGAGTTCCACATGCTTTTCCAACTCATGAGCCCCTTCACTTTCTTGTTGCTTGCCTTTTCATCAGCATACAATTAGTTAACAGCGGACACTGGTGTAGGGGGATCCAATAATCTTGAGTACTATAATGTCTGTGCACTGTATGGTTTGGGAGACAAGTAGACTAATCGGCTTCGAATTTTTAGGTTATACATCAAACAACCTGCATCTACCACTTCATTTTCTGGTGATGATTATGAACCAGAGTGGTTTGAATACAAAATCAAAGAGACCAATATGTTTACCGTGGACAAATATCAACAGGTGAGCTTCACTAAGACAGAGAACTAATTTACATCCACCCACTGGTCATACTTAATTCAGACTGTTATCTGCAATTTTCTTTTCTTTTCAGATTTTATTGCATTTGAGGTACCACTAAAAGTAGTTTGCAGATTGGCTTCTTCCCCAAGGAGAAGGCGTATGCACTAAGATATCAGACTGCTGGCATGTTAGAGACAGTGTTAAGACAGGGAGTGCTTGGTGAAGATGATATTGGAGAAGAATCACCAAGGTAACTGTTTCGCAAATGGAGATGACTCAACGGATAAGTTAAAATATCAGTTCTGGTGAAATCAGTGGGTGAAATTATGCACATATTTTGCTTCTAGCTTTATTTTGGAAATGATACCCTGTGTGGTCTACATGTTGTTGCTTCTAACTTTTCTTGAAGATGCCACTCATCGGATAAGCTAAAATATAAAATTCTATGAAACCAGTGGTTGAATTTATGCATGTATTTTGCTTCTAGTTTTATTTTGGAACTTATACCCATTACCCAGTATGGCCTGAGTGTTGCTGCTTCTGGCTTATCTTGGATATTTTCGCCTTGTCTATTTTGTGTCCTGATCGGTTTTTATTCCTTGTGGGAAAAAACCAATTCCTCCGTTTATGGTATCTACTGAATTCTAGTAGACAACTTTTTCATGTTTGCCAAATAATTATTGCTATTGAATCATCACACCTATTATTTTGTTCAACATAACAGACAAATGTATCATAATATTGTTGAAAAATACGACATTCTCGTGCAAGTCGAGCGAGGGCATTTCAAGGCATGTGTAGATATGTAACTGACTGTTAAATAATAGGCATGTATTTGCCTATTATGTTTTAGCCTTATATTTATATGTAATCATTAAGTTGTTTGTATAGTGGTTTAGCTTAATTATATGTTGATTAGATGAAAAATGTTGCGGATAGTTTAATCTTCACAAAGAGGACGGAAACATTAACTTATTCATACCTTTACATGCAGTATGTTGGTTGAAGGCTTTTTTTTTTTTTTTTTCCTGAGGGGGGAGGG